CTTTGAGGGAGAGAGAGAGAGGGAGAGAGAGGGAGAGAGAGAGAGAGAGAGAGAGAGAGAGAGAGAGTGTGAGTGAGAGAGAGAGTCTGAGTGAGAGAGAGAGAGATAAACACTTAATTTTTTGGTTTGGTCTGTTGTACAGTTTGCGAAAGATGGCTGCAGGCAAAGCTCAAATCGGAAAGATGGCTCCAGATTTCACAGCTAAAGCTGTGATGCCAGATGGCCAGTTCAAGGACCTGAAACTATCTGACTACAAAGGTAACGCTTCATTCAATGTCTCGTTCAAGGGATGCATAGCTTTGAACCCGCTTGTCTTTGCACTTCCCGCTGCAAAATACTTGAATATTAATGGCCTTTTTGTTGCCGGATGCCACCTGAATCACGTCGTCACGTTGAGGCAGGCAAATATGTTGTCTTCTTCTTCTATCCACTGGACTTCACCTTCGTGTGTCCAACTGAGATCATCGCATTCAGCGATGCGGCTGACGAATTTCGGAAAATTGGCTGCGAGGTCATCGCCGCCTCCGTTGACTCTCACTTCTGCCACTTTGCATGGTATTTTATCACCGGAACACCTGCAGTATTTGTGTTGCCTTTGTCACAACGGCACATTTTCACTTTGGATTTTCATAAGGACCAACACTCCACGTAAGGAGGGTGGTTTGGGTGCCATGAAGATCCCAATGGTGTCTGACACGCGACACACCATTTCCACAGATTACGGTGTTCTGAAGGAGGATGAAGGCATTGCCTACAGGTGAGTTGACAGTGTAGTGCCATGCTGGTACAAAGTAAAGAAAACATTGTTAGCTCCTTAGTTGCTGGACCTTTTCTTACGACATGAAAAAGTCTCTTTGCAAAAACTTTTTTGCGCCAGCAAGGGTAACATACTGTACTAGAAAAACGACATCACAGAATTTAAAGGGAAACGATAGAATAAACTGTCAGTAGCCCCCGCAATAAGAACATTTTGCAACAGCATGTGGACAGTGTCATCACATAAGAATGTAAACAATTCTGTTTACATTTACAACACCAGGGAATGTGAATAAGAAGAATGGGTGTAGTAGTGTCCGTGACTACTGTGCATGGATAATAAATATGCTGCATGCTGTCATGTGGACAAACGACAACTACCCATATGTGATTCAAACAAACCCTACCAATAGTAACTGTCAGTAGTAGAATGAGAGTTACTCATGAACATATTCCTTAATATGTTTTATCTTTTAAAAGTTTGCAAGCAAACAAAAAACGAAAACCGGTTTTACAACACCCTTTAACAGTTTTACGTAAACATTCGCACAGCTGACTTCATCCTAGCTGTTGTCTATTCTGAAATTCATTGCAAAGTTGAATTAACTTCTAGATGTCAGATTGTTTTTTTTTTTATTTTTGTCATGTCACTCATTTTATGGCAAGTTATTGCAAGACTGGATTTGTGGCCCGTGGCCTGATGATATATTCCATTCAGGGTTTCTCTATTTCCATGGCAACCTGGGACAGAGGAAGGACGTGAGGAACATGAATTCAAACTAAAAAAAAAAAAAAAAAAAAAATCTTAAAATCGGCAACATCAGGGAGGATCAGGAGCCCTTCTACAAATTCATATCACAATTGAATGGGGGGTAGTGAGAAAATAGAACCCCACAGCACCATCTGCTGGAAAGTGTGGGGCTCGTCCCCAGAATAAAATTCACCTTTTAATTTCAGACTAGTCGTCATTTGGCTCAATTGCTTCTACATCCCGCAATGTATTTTTTTTTTTTACATTGAATATAAAGAAAACGAATGTAAGGTAATGGTAATGATTTAATATCAACAATTAAAGGTGGAGTTAACAAAGCCAAAGTTCACTTCTCCCGTAATGTTGTGTTGCCCCAGTCAGACAAATTCGCCACACAAGAAGCTGACGTCATCCTCCATCTTGTATCTGAATATAGAATTCAGTGTTGTCTGTGTGACAGTGCACACACTGGTGTTAATATTCTTATCCTCCTTTATATCTCAGGGGTCTATTCATCATTGATGACAAGGGGATCCTGAGACAGATCACAATCAACGACCTTCCCGTTGGCCGTTCTGTCGAGGAGACCTTGCGTCTGGTTCAGGCCTTTCAGTTTACTGACAAACACGGAGAAGGTACGTAATTATTTACCACAACTGGCGACCTTTTCATTAGTTACACCGGTCAACTAATTTGTATTTTTTAATCAACGATGCAATTAAAATTTTCTAGATTTTTTTGCGCTGAGTCCAACTCTGTCCTCGTATTTTCTCTGGTGCCTCAAGTTTTTATAACTATAATAATAAATAAATCATTATTTTGATATGTAACATAGTACTGTAATATATTTCATGACATTTATGAATTAAGGGCTGTATTCAACAACAGGGATTTTGTTTCCTGAAACGTCAGCACGTGGTAAAATCCGTATTGCACAAGCTTTAATAGGTCAAACTAAAAAAAAAAAAAAGAGAGAAAATATCTCCAAGACCTGATGTGCTGGGAAAAAAATCAGTGTCCAAAATACATGTTTGGAAACATAAAGTTGTCTCTGATTAAAATTTGCTATTGACCAATATTTGCACTATTGTTTGCATGCATATATAGTAAATGTACTATATGTCTGCGTTAATTGTGGCACATTGTTTTGCTTTCATGTAATTGTCCAGGACTCACTGTAAGTGTTTCGTTTCAGTGTGCCCTGCCGGCTGGAAACCAGGAAGTGACAGCATCAAACCTGACGTCCAGAAGAGCAAAGAGTTCTTCTCCAAACAGTGATAAGCCCAAGGCCAAAGTCTGCTCCCTCCTCTAAGAGATTTCATATCCATATTTGAAGAAAATAAGTTTTTTATATTTTGTTTGTGGAGTGAGTTTTAGTAAGCATGTTCCATTTCATTGTCTTGTGCATCATGAAGACCAAACTGTATTGTTTTGAGGTTTCATATACTGGTAGCTAAATGTCTTTGCAATTCCTTATTGTAAAACCATGAAGTGGAAATGAATCGAGAAGATGCTTCATTTCATTTTTCTTCTGAGAGAAAGCAGATAGTCTTAAAATTCAGTGCTCCCTGACAATTTATTTAGCATTTCCTATTTCAGTGAAACTTCCAGTCAAGTCACAAGGCCAATGTTTTTTTTCCCAAGCTTTTTGTTTCATTATGACTGAAAGGCGTGAATATCCACTGGTTTCCTCATACTTAGGTTTAGCAGTTAACACCACATAAAAAAAACATGAAGACAACAGTAGGAAGCTTTTATTGTAGTTAATACTGCTGTTAAGTGATATATATATATATATATATATATATATATATATATATATATATATATATATATATAGTTGAACAAAAAAAAATTACGAATTTAATAAAGTCACAATTCAGCTGTGACCTCTGGGTTGAAAGTGCTTTGAGAGAATTTAATTCCTCAATGACAGTAGGCCTAAATTAACTCTAGCAGAGCACAGAGAGTGGGATCCAATTAGCTTTTGCGGTTTCTTCTACTGGTGAATGCAACAGCCAATCCGTAAATTAAGATGCTGCTAATCGATATTAAACGTCGCTCACCTTGATCACTGAAGCTATTTTAAGCATAAACTGACAGTTTGTCGTGAATTTTTCATATATACAGTAGCCAATATTGGTCTCGTTTAACAACAACAGGAAACAATTATCGTTGGCGACAGCTAATTAGCTTTAGCGACACCTGGCCGAAATTTTTGAAAAGAACAAAAATGGCAGCTGTAACGGGCATCAAGAAGAAGGTGGATACTGCCGAGGTATGGGAATAAGATATTACTCAACTTCTCGTTTAAATTTCAATCAGATTTGAATCAGTATACGGTGTAAAGTAGACCGACGATGTTACTGTATATCGAAGCCCACTATACAGTATTAAAACCCGTGTACGTGTATTTGGTGTAACCGCGCCATCTTGTGGCTCGTACTACAGTATGAATTGTTCCTTCCCTGGTAATCAAACGTGTGCTCCAAACTTTCATTCCTTGGTAATCAAACGTGTGCTCTAAACTTTCAAAGTGGACTGGATTATTTCCCAACGACCTCGATAACAAGCAGGGGTCCCTTGTCTTCGTCAAGAGGATGGTGGCTGTGGCTGTGTCCTCCATCACCTACCTCAGAGGCATTTTTCCTGAAGATGCCTACTGCTCAAGATATTTGGAAGGTGATCACCAACAGTACGGCTAACTTTAGGGACTCAATGAATTCACACATACAATAGAAATGTGAATATTAAACCATACATCATTAACAGTACAGTACAACCAACCTTTGACTATGTTTTCAACAGATTTGTGCATTAAGATTTTGCGGCAAGACTGCAGGACTACTGGAGGCAGCAAAGTTGTCAAATGGTGCTCACAATAAGTTCTACCTTTCTGATACAGAACAGACAACAGTTTTTATGACTTTAATGGTAATGCTCTTGTTCAGTGCGTCACAGCCTTTAAGCCAAGACCGATATTTTACATAAGGAAAAAAAATATGGCATAATACCAAACACAAATACTTAGTCTGTGAAATCTGGGCCTGTTTAATGGAACACAAAGCACGCAAGAAGTCATGATTTACTTTGTTGTATAAATGGAAAAAGGTGGATATGCGGATTTGTTGTACCTTCTGCCATCGCTGGCATGAACAATATATGCTTGAAATTAATAAATGGTGATTTTCAGAATAATGATATGCTCTCTGGTTCACCAGAAGCAATAAAGATGGATCATCTCAATGATGTTTTTTACCCACTTTTTCACAACTTCAGTGGTGGTTTAATCACAATAATCTTTTTTATTCAGGCTGATTGGCTGTTTTGATGCATTGGAGAAACAATATGTACGTATATAAATATTTTACCAATTTTTTAAAATTCACATCCTATCTTGCCTGATTTTTTAAAAAATGTTCTCCTTGTAACAGCTACAGATTATGTTCATCGGGGTAAGTAACTCAATTAAGTGAAGACAGAAACTACAGCTAAAACACCAAATAACTGCCACTGAGCGTAGTTTTGTTGTGCCTTCTAGCTGTACACCAATCCTGCTGAACCCAATGTAAGTTCTCTCAATACAGTACTGAAATCTTTATTTCAAGCTTGTCAAACATTTAAGGATAACCGAAAATAAACAAGTGGTCTCTCTGTTTTCAAGCGCATTATTGAGTCCTACAGTTTCAAGTTCAAGTACACAGAGTCAGGTCCAGAGATGGATATACTTAGGTTTGGAAGGACACTCTGTTGTTTTTGCTGGTCTTGTTTGAACTCAAATGAGTTGGTGGTGAAATAACCAATGTGAAATCACAGGAACAATGGTGGTGAATTGAAGGTCGCGTTGGAAGAAACCAAGAGAGCGAGCGTGCTGCTGATCAGGAAGCTCTTCCTGCTCATGCAGAACCTTGACGTCCTTCCCACAAATATCCACCTTAGCATGAAACTCTACTACTATGACGACAGTGAGCAACCACAAACATCTGAGCCAAACCAAATGAGTATCAATGATTGTTCGTATCGAAAACATCCTATGCTATTGTTCTTCCCAAGTTACTCCAGCGGAATATGAGCCACCAGGCTTCAAGGAGGGCACATGCGACAGCCTGTGGTTTGAAGGCACGGCCGTGCACTTCACGGTGGGTGATGTCCAGACGGCTTTCCATACCTTTCAAGTGCGAATGTCTGCTGAGAGAAGTCGGCTAGAGAAGCTTCAAGATGAAAATCATCTGAAGGATACCAAGCCGATTATCACTTCAGGGAAAGAACCCGACAAGGTAGAGTTATTTAAGTGCAGCTACTACTACTCAATTTGCCTTGTCATTCATACACCTTTTCCAGTTGAAATATTAGTGTTTAAGTTACACCGGTGATAAATTAAAATACACATCCTTAAAATGGTGAATTTACTTTAACATTGAAAACTTGTTGCAGTTAAGATCGCAAACTGAAAATAACGCCAACAGTTGAATTTTCATTGTGGAAAGGGGTCGCGGGGCATGCTGGAGCCTATCCCAGCTGTCTTCAGGCAGTACACCCTGGCTGCCAGCCAATTCCATACTGTGAAGCCCCATACCTCCCTAACTCCATTTTGCATTACAGGGCCCTGACAAGATAGTGTATGCTGATGATGAGCAGCGCCCTGAAGATGGTAAGTTGATCTGCTGCTGTCATTTGAGATCTGACGTCTATATAAAGTGATTCACTCTAAACGTGGCTTCGTACAGAGTCAGCATGGTTCAAGAAACCCACAAAACTTGTGGTCAAGGTATGCTGGATTCAAAGCGCAGTCACATAAAGCACGGACAGGAATGTTATGCTTACCATTGTGTCTATTTTAGAGAAAGGCACCAGCCAAAAACGAGACAAGAAAGAGAAGAAGACTTTAAGTGTGACATTTACCAAAATGATAATCAGCAGAGTAGTCACAAATGTACTGTTCCTCCTTTTACTAACATTGAACACCATCGATTGTAATCTCACATCACATTATTTCATTTCAAGACGTTTCCATGTTTTACTACTCACAAGGCAGCCAATGTGACATTTGTAATTGGAGCAGCATACAGTTTAAAGCAAACGATGTGAATTTGCGTGTTCTTAAATTTATTTTTCAATGAGCGTTCAATAAATAATATCATAATAAAAAGATGGATTCGTTTTTTTTTGTGCATAAAAATAAATGCCAATCTGCAAAAAGGCACACGGCACAAATTATGTGAGCAAATTAACATTGCAAAAAAAAAAAAACAGTCCATAATACTGAAAACCTAACTTCACATTTGCAACAGTATTTATCAGTCATCCAAATATTTCAGAGGCCACTTTGTATAGTCTACCCCAAATATGTCTCAGGGAGTACAAAACTGTTTGATGGCTCACTTAACAATCAGTCAATGCGTAGAGGAAGCATGGGCGTCCCCTGAGTGATATGTCACTTTACTTGACTCAGTCAGTGTTCCACTACTTCCTGCTGGTTGGCCTTTCCTAGAAGAGGCTGTCAACATCCCCCATCTCCACGTACACCGTCTTCAGCTGCGAATAGTGTTCAATTGTCACCTGGCCATTCTCCCGCCCTATGCCTGGTCAATACAGGGAAGAGATAACTGGTCAAGGGTGTACTACCAAGAACTTTTTCAGACATAAAGTTGGTGGTGGTTTTGGGGAAAAGATGGTGATTCAGAACATAAATACCTGACATTTTAAAGCCTCCAAATGGAACCTCCACAGGAGTGATATTGTAGTTGTTGATGAAACAGGAACCAGCTTTGAGGTGTTCAACCACACGGTGGGCACGCTTCACATCCCTGAACACACAAGTGACAATATTTAAAAGAGTATCTGATACTAAAAGTATGGTCAACTTGATATTATTATATATACACAGCCACCCTCAATTGTGGGTTCTGGGTTTGCGGCCCATTATTCAGCTTTTTTTTTTTTTTTTTGGTTTGTTTCACCTTGATCTTATTTTATCTATTAGAATCGTAGCAGGGCGGCACAGTGGTTGATTGGTTTGCAAGTCGGCCTCATAATGCAGAGTTGCAGGGTTCGATTCTGGCTCTGGCTTTTCTGTGTGGGGTTTGCATGTTCTCCCCGTGCCTGCGTGGGTTTTCTCCGGGTGCTCCGGTTTCCTCCCACATTCGCAAAACATGCATGGTAGGTTAATGGAACACTAAATTGTCTCTAAGTGCGGTTTTGAGTGTGAATGATTGTTTGTCAATGTGTGCCCTGCCTGAAGAAAGCTGGGACAGGGTCCAGCATCCCCACGGCCCTTGTGAGGATAAACGGATGACAAAATAGATGGATGGATGGAAAATTGTAGCTGTTGTGTTGTTGGTGAAGAGATCTATTCTGTCGGCCATTTCTGTCTCGATTTGCAATGTCATTGTGCTGCGTCCCATCCTAACCTGGTGAAAACTCCTGCAGCTAATCCCATGGTGGTGTCATTGGCTCGCTGCAGCACCTCCTCTTCTGTGTCAAAGGGCAACACAGACATGACAGGACCAAAGATCTCCTCCTTTACGCAGGTCATGTCATCTTTGCAGTTGGCTAGTGGGAAAACAGCACGGATGAGAATGTGGACAAAACCCAACAACTAATAACATCCTATTCGAAACCTAAATATGACTGGGTGGTAAACAGACAACGCTTACCCAGAACGCATGGCGTCATGTAGAATCCATGTCTGAGTTTAGCGTCTGAAGGGACGAAGGCTTCACCCCCACACAATACAGTGGCCCCCTAGAAAGATGTTTTGAAATGTAAATGAAATTGAAGGAAACAAATATGAGCCCATAGGTTGGATGAGTTTGGAGAAGGAATTTGCTAAATATGACTGGGTGGTAAACAGACAACGCTTACCAAGAACGCATGGCGTCATGTAGTATCCATGTCTGAGTTTAGCGTCGGAAGGGACGAAGGCTTCACCTCCACACAATACAGTGGCCCCCTAGAAAGATGTTTTGAAATATAAATGAAATTGAAGGAAACAAATATGAGCCTATAGGTTGGATGAGTTTTGGAGAAAGAATTTGTACTAAATCCCATCAAACACTTGGGATAAATTGAAGATTGATTCCTATTATTGTTGTGAATATAATATAAATTACAAAAGGGAAAAAAAACACAGGTATTTTTTTTTTACCTTTTTGTGATGACTTTTTATATGGCGTATAAGGTTTAGTCAAGGTGAACTTTAGTCATCTTTACGTTTGCTGTTTAATCGCAGCACTTCAATTGAGCAAATCAAGCTTGCTAAAGGAATATGATGTGATGGCCAATCTGTAGATTGATTCCTATTATTGTTGTGAATATAATATAAATGACAAAAGGGAAAAAAAACACAGGTATTTTTTTTACCTTTTTGTGATGATACATTGAATTTTTGCTAGTTGTCACGATTCGCTAAACGACACTCTTCAGTCATACCTCCTTTTTCGCCTGTTCCACAAAGGCGAGAACTTTGTCAAGATGTGGCCGGCTGACCAGTGCTCCCATTTTGGTAGTCTCCAATAGCGGGTCGCCAATTTCAATGGCCTGGGTCCTTTTGACAACTTCATCCACAAATTCATGCAGAATTTCCCTCTGGACAAAAACTCTTGTGCCATTGCTACAAACCTGTGACGTAGCACAAGCGCAAACCGGCATGACTTTGTAGTTTCATTTCGTGGTATGACTTGAAGGGAAGTCCATTCTACCTGGCCTTGAGAAAGGAAGTTGGCCATTAGAGCACCCCGTACAGCGTTCTCAATGTCACTGTCCTCAAATATGAGCAGTGGGGATTTTCCACCAAGCTCCAGTGTCACTGGTTTGACCCCTTTGGATGCCATTTCCATTATCTGTGGAATCACACAGTAAAATAGCCATTGGTTATTTCAAATCGATTACAGTTCAATTGTCACACGGTGGCAGGAAGCTGGCATGTTCCATAACTTCTGGTAGCAACAGCGAAATCCCACAGTGCAACATTCCTGCTCAGAATGTCAAGTGCACTTGCCCTTTTAGTAGAATTTAATGATTCTATCCCATCCATCCATCCATTTTCTGAACCACCTTATCTTCACAAGGGTCATGGGGCATGCTGGAGCCTATCCCAGCCCTCTTCGGGCAGTAGGCGGCGGACACCCTGAACTGGTTGCCAGCCAATTGTAGGGCACACAGAGACGAACAACCATCTGCGCTCACGCTCACACCCAGGGACAATTTTTGGAGTGTTCAATCAGCCTGCTATGCATGTTTTTGGAATGTGGGAGGAAACCGGAGTACCCGGAGAAAACCCACGCAGGCTCGGGGAGAACATGCAAACTCCACACAGGGAGGCCGGAGCCAGGATCGAACCCACGACCTCTGTTCGGGTCGGGTCGCGCTCGGGCTCGGGCTCTGCACTGTGAGGTCGATGCGCGAATCACTGGACCAACGGGCCACCTATTTAATGATTCTATTTAGGTCAAAAAATATATATATATATTGGGAAGGATCTACACAGAGTATATAAAATGTAGTTTTGTTGCAGTTTTTCAGGTGATTTCACTTTGTTGTGTATGTCTGCACATGAAGGAGGAAGGATGAAGGAACATCACAGTGTACACATTTTTTAAACCGTAGGAGTGAGGCAGCACGGTGGGACAGGTGATTGCCTCTGCCTCGAACGCGGCAAGTACCTTGACACCTTCTTCTCATGCTTGCGTGGGGTTTGTCCGGGGACTCTCATGTCCTCCTATATCCCTAAAACAGGCATTTCAAGTGGATAGAAGACTCTAAATTATGTGTGAATGCTAGTTTTAGGGCAATGATGTTCTTTCTGTGTGCGCACATGCACTAAATGATTCGACAGGCATGCACACGAACAGTGCTGAGGAAACTGACTCGCGTTTATCAAACCCAGTCCTACTTTCCATAGACCCAATTTCCATGATTTTCTTTTTATCCTAACTGTCAAGTCCTTGAGGGACTGAAACACCCCCCCCTCCCTGCCACACACACACACACACACACACACACACACACACGCACGCACACACACACACACACACACACACACGCACACACACACAAATATCCCCCCAGTCTGTATAATGTTAAACTCACTTTCTGTCCAGTTGGCACACTCCCAGTGAAGGACACCTTTGCCACATCAGGGTGGTGGCAGAGTAAACTTCCTGTCTCCTGCCCCCCCTGCACCACGTTGAGGAGTCCCTCTGGAGCTCCTGCTTCAGCAAAGATCTCTGCCAACATGACCGCTGTCACAGGTGTCACTGGGGATGGCTTGAACACCATCGTATTGCCTGATTCATGAAATGCAAGAGAGAAAAAAAAAATTGCTTCCATGCAGGTCAAAGACTATAAGCCCCTGATTGACATGGGATATGTCTGCAATATACGACAAAGTCCCCGAGGATGTACCATTCAGAATTCTCAGAATTATGTATTTTTTATCCTATTTTCATAAAAAACTGAACTCAACGATTGATGTTAAAAGAAGACTGTGAGAAGAGACAAGTATACACAGAAAGTTAGTTAAAATATGGGGATTCATATTCAAAGCGGCAAAACCGGCGTTACCATAGATCGTTATCAGAGCAAAGTCAGTCTTCTTTTGGCTGGAATTGTTACTTTGAACTTATTTTTACACTCCTACGTGACAAAGTCAATCAAAATGTTGCCTGTTTTGAGAGACAAGGGGTAACAAAGGTTTTATGGGTTTGGCCCTATTGGAAAGGATTGCGTGTCCAACCTTTGCGGTTACACTTCACTGCATCATCTAGCTACGGTGCCATTTATTGGTCAAATATATTTTCGGGGCGGAGTGTTTTGGAAAAGAAAAATCCCATACCACAGGCCAGTGCTGGGGCCGATTTCCAGGCAGCAATCTGGAAAGGGTAATTCCAAGCACCGATGCCGACACATACGCCCAAAGGCTCCCTACGTGTGTAGGCGAAAGATCCACCTGGCAACTGCACATGCTGGCCTGGGCAAATTCAAAACAAGACAACCGAAAAGCACTCATTTGAACAATTTGACTTTATTACTAAACTGTATCGAGGAAAATAAATGTGAAATGGTAGCATGTCATGTTTTTTGTCTTTCTTGAAGTGGTTGAACTCCCACGTTGTGGTGTACAAACCCGAAAGGGTGCTGGACAGCCCTGCATAGTACTCGATACACAGTCGGGCTGAGTCCACGTCCAGACGGGCCTCTGTGATGGATTTCCCATTGTTGACTACTTCCATTTCGGCAATCTCCTCTCTCCTTTTCTGTGCATGACGAGCAAAATAAGAGGTCAAATGCAGCCTTACAGGCAGGAGCTCAACTGAGCTTTCTTTATAGAGCACTTTCAAACAAGCACAGCTGCTGAACCTTAAGGTAAAAAAAAAAAAAAACAAACATCCCAGCCAACAGGACACTATATAATCAGAACAGGATAACAATTTATGTAGTCCCATTATTCATTAATCTGTCATTTAAAACTCATTCAGAACCAGCCAATTCTAGACCAAGTCTGAAAAGTTCTTTGGGGGTGACTGAGTTAAAGACGTCCAGACTGCAGCGAAGGTAAGGAGCAAAAAATGAAACACACCTCAATGGTGTGAGCAGCTTCAATCATCACCCTTGCTCTCTCCATCCCAGACATTTTACTCCAAGTACCAAAGGCTGACTTGGCCGCCTCGACAGCTTGGCCTACCTCTGTGGAACCACATGGCTCCAACGTGCACAAGACACGCCCTGCAAAATAAAGTAAGTTGAAGACAAAGTTCAATTGTCTGTGTAGACTGTCATTCATTCAGGTCATGGTAAACTGGTAAAGGGGAATCGAGGCAACCGGAATTTTTCTTGTTTGTTGAAGACTGAACAAACAAGAAATGTCCGGTTGCCTCGATTCAACCGTTGCGGTCAAAGTTCAGTACTTGGGTCAATACAAATCATCTCGATCTTATAATCAGAAAAGAACTTCTGCTGAACAACACACGGCTTTATTTCACCCCTCGAAGAAATTCCGAGGCAGCACACCCAATGATTCAATAACTTGAAGTACAGGTAATTGTGTTCACTCTGGTGTTTATCGGTCGATCATATCAATGTGGATGTATCTTGACCCCCTCTTCTTGAAATTACATTTCTTTTGTTCATTGAGTTTTGCACACGTCATTCAAGGTACCGCCACAAAATTTCATCAGATTGAGGTCTGGACTTTGTCCAATTGCGACACATTGATTCCCGCTCCTTTTTTTTTTTTTTCAGCCATTCTCTTGTAGATTAACTGGTGGTGGGATCACACCCCTTTTGCGTGACCCAACTGTGACTCATCTTTTTTCTTGCCAGACTGACTCACATTTGAATCGCGTCTATTTTAGTCTATTGAGGAGTTAATGACTGACTGAACTAAAGGTGTCCAGGTCCTCTGGTTTAAAAGCAAGCCCAAATAATCATTCCTCCATCACGGGGCTTGACAGTTTTTAGTATGTACAAGATCTGTGTGCTGATATACTGAGTTGTTTTTTTTTTGGGTGGTAAACATGGGTTTGTCTGTTCTGGGCAAACATTTCCCGCAAACGGATAAGCCATGTTGACATATTTTGTTTTGGAGTTAAGACAGTTCTCCTGGAAACATTGAATTTTTTTGCAGATGTGAACACTCCTTCCCACTCTGTGGAACAATGAACTAAAACTGTTTTGTCTTATAACGCCTCCCAGATTGTTGCCCAACAACAACTGTTTCACTAAAATCATTACACATGTCTTTCTTCCTTGGTATTGAGTTAATGAACAACAGAACGCTCCAAGGAACCAACCAGCTAACTTTTAGGCCATCACGCCTGTTGATGATCAGTTGTATACTTGAATAGTTGTAACCTCTTAAATACCACGTAATGCGATACTGGTGTTAAATCTGTGAAAATATGTATAACTTTAAAATGGAAAGAATGAGTATTTACTTTTCCAAGTGATGGTAGATGAGGAATGCTGTATAATGTATGCAGATCTGTTTAAGTCAGAGTTGCATGCGTCTTACTGTTTGAAGCCACGTGATGTAAAACAACAAAATAAATGCAAATACATAAAGTAATGCGCATTAAATGTATTCCGAATGTTAAAGGCAATATTAAAAGCCAAATGGATCTTTTTGTTGAATTTCATTACCTGTTGCAGGCTCGAATACGTTCTCCCCATTGTTTCTTTCTTTGCTCGCCTTCCTTTTTCCACCCCAGAAGTTCAGCGGGGCCGTTATGTTCGCGAAGCCCGAGGAGAGGCTTCGTACTGCAGCCGACAACGGAGTCGCCCTCCGGAGCATTTTTAGCTTGGTAGTTCGTTTCAGTTGCGACTGCAAAGCACACGCTGTCAACTCGCAGGAGCAAAACTTGCTGTTCACTTAACGCATGTTATGTTTCACTGGAGCAAAACTTGCCATGGGCTATGTTTGCAAAAGGCATAAAAGCAGTGCAACTTTCTTCTTCTTTTTAAAATTTACGTTTACGTTCGCTTCTGCAGATTAAACTTGGAGGCGGGACAAACAAAACGTCATTGTACGTCTGATGCGATTGGATGTTTTTTTTTCAGACCGGAAATTTTAATGTAAACTAATTTCAACACATCGAGTGCAACGTTTATGCCGCGTAAAACTGAAATAATAATAACATAAATTATACATTTACATTACCCAGTTCTAATTGAACTTGGAGGCGGGACATACGACATACGTCACTGTACGTTTCACACGATTGGCTATAATTTCCTGACCCGAAAATTAGATATTAAAAATCACTCCCCTTAAAACCCTTTACGTGCCAATTTTGTGATTCTTAAATATAATTAAAAGCAAAAATAAGCACATGTAAAATGCCAAAAATCAAATTTCACGAGTGTATAAAACAACGTGTGGGGATATGGGAGGAGCCCTGTATCGGTGATCTTTCAGCCCTGAGCTCTCAGCAGCACATTGCAAGTATGGCCGGCGACTCTGAAACACACCTCCGAGACCGAGGCGACAATACCGACGTAATACGACAACCTTTTCTCATCGGTGTCTCTGGGGGCACCGCCAGCGGAAAGGTTGGCATTATAGCTAGCAGCTGGGGTGACTTTATCGAAGTGTCACTCGTTTTTTTTCGCGTTAAATGACGTGTTACAGCTCATGCGTCTGCCGGCTGCTGGTTGACCGCGTGGCTTCGGTGCCGCTTGATTGACAGGCGTTTCTTCTGGTGAACTGTCTCGCCCCCAGGATTCCCCCGCTTTAACCTAACGCGAAAGAACGCCATGTGGCGATTTCTATCGTCGTTTTGTTAACTTAAACTAGTAATCATAAGACTCGACTAGCCAGTTTTGTCGATTAGATTTTAGTTTTTGCAGCTAGGCTAAATTCCATCAGACGCTAGCCTCGCTGGCAATGGAAGACAATGGCCAGTGCTAGTGTTCTTCTTAGCCATCTTCTTGTTTGTAAACAGTCCCAAGCATTATTTTTCCATGGTCCAACTTATGTATATTTTACTTAATAAAATAAAGTGGCATAGTGTGTCACAAAATTATAAAACGCGTGTCGAAACAAACGCGAGTTGAAGATTACAGTTTAAACAATGGTAACTAATGACCCATATTCGACTGCAGAGCTGTTAAGATTCCCCCGCGTCAAAGCGCCCACGTCTCTTTGTTCGTCAAAGGTGAACGTGGCGCCTTGTACGCCTTGGTTTTATTGACATAATTGGAACCATCCATTTTGTAACCCGTTATGGTTCGTTTTAAGATGACTCGTTCAGCGTGCGTAATCAGCCTGCCATCAATATATTGTATATAAAACATCAGAACATGCAACGCACGCAGTCAAATAATACTGTCAAGCGTTTTAGATTTTATTTAAAGATAAGTAAGGTTACGTTTTAAAAAAAAAAAACGAAATTGTCGTTGGAATGAAAAATCTATTCAAATAAGCACTGTTCAAACAAGCCACTATGTATCAACCGATGGCTGCGTTTTATAGATTACGTTCCACGAGCGACAATTTTAAAGAAGTGTCACCAAACTAGATCATTTTGTCGCCTTTCATCTTATTTGAGAAACTCGACCTGTGGGGTTCTCCTTGCTGCCTGTGGGCTAAATAGAATTAACTACTGTTTAAAAAAAAGGAAACTTGTATACCTATGATAGAGACCAATTAACACGTGGCATTTGCCGATGAGGCAGATACTTTGACTTAAAATGAAATTGTCTTTATAAACTTTATTTTGCCCATTGTGATTGGTTGGTTACATCTGACTTGTGCAGAAACACTGGCAAAACCAGTATGGTTACATAGCTGCATGTCATCATCAGGATATTTGGAATGGACATTTCAAGCTTACTAACTAGGAAAACAAAATCGAAACACAAGTTATTAAAAAATAATAATAAAGCGAAATCAGTGCACTGCTTGCAGCAGACTACAATATACAGTAATATTAAAATGTATATATTTTTTGCTCCTCCCTTAACACCATTCAGTAACACTAGACTAATTTGGTCTTGAAAATTACGCTCATGCGGTCCAGTTAGAATTCAGTGGCTGTTTGGATAGCATGATGTAATATCAACTTGCTTGTATGAAAGGAGTGCTGGCTTGCTGCAGCGCTTTTTTTTTTTTTTTTGAGCATCTGAGATTTGCAATGTAGATAAATGATTAATTGCCGTCAAGTCTGTGTTGTTCGGTACCCAGAGCAACAATTCACGAACAAATGGCTGTCGATATACATCCTTGGGTACACCTGCACATTCTAAGGATGGCAAAAAAAAAAAAACTGCCTTCAAAAATGCCTTCTACAATCACATTAAAAACAGTTTGAATCATAACATCTGACAGTATGAACCAAAATTCAATTTTTAATGTTGTCTCTTTTGGCTAGTGAGTGTAATTGAAAATCTATAAATTCTATGGGTGACCCAAATATGAAATCTTTTTGGAACTTGTTTGTTTTTTAAAATGTTTACTAAAGGAAGTAAGAAAATAAATTAATTCCCTATCAGTCAGCATCCGTAGGCCTGACGAAAGACCTTTGTTTGGTTAGATTTTGATGAAAACAACAATGGCACAGCCTCGGGCGGTCAGAATGTCCTGTCAGCACTCACCAGGAGATACGTGGAGTTGTCCAGGTCACTGGGGACACTGCAGAATAGGAAAGAATTGCAAGTTTACTCAAACAGATTGAGCTATTATGATGTTTGAAATTTAAAATACATTATTTCTTTAAAATGTTTTAAAATAAATTTGTGGTTGTAGCCAAAATGACTTTTAGGTATAGAAAAAAAAATTGTAGTTGCAGTAAAAAAAAAAAATCTATGGGGGCGAGTTATCATTTATGCAGCTCAGATAGGTTTTTTTTTTTTCCCCACATACAAGTTACTTTGGCTCCAACTACAAATTTCGGACTTTTTTGAACAGGTACAATTTACTTTAGCTACAAACTGGTTTTCTACGTCATTTTTTGGCACAACAATTTTCCTACATTTCTTTTGTACAGGGTCAAGTTACTTTGCCACCAAATTTACTTCCACATCTTTCCCTTGAATTGCAGTCCTCCGTTTGTGGGAAGATAATGGAGCTGCTGGGCCAAAACAAGATTGACCATCACCAGAGGCAGGTGGCCATCCTCAGCCAGGACAGCTTTTACAAGGTGCTGACCCCTGACCAGAAAGCCAAGGCACTCAAGGGCCAGTTCAACTTTGACCATCCAGGTATATAAAACTTAATTTCGTTGAGGAAATTCTATGTAGCTTCGACGTCAAGCGCTTCAGTCCGTGAAAGGTAATGATATGCAGAAGCATGAGCTCCATTTTAGGATTGTCTCCACCTCCTCGTAAACCGTCCTCTTCCGGTTTCAAATCCCAGCAGTCAGCAGGCCTTTCTCAGGGGCAGCTGCTCAGAGATTGAACCAAACAGCTGTTAGCTAAGGGCTTACCAAACGTGCCGCGCCAGTCCCCCCGCGTGTCTCCGAGCCTGGGTTAAGAAAAGCTGAGCCAGGGTCCGCCCTTCCCTTGCTTTCAGATGCCTTTGACAATGAGCTGATCATGCACACACTCAGGGAGATCCTGCAAGGGAAAACTGTCCAGATCCCAGTTTATGACTTTGTCACCCATTCCAGGTGAGCACACGTGTTGGTTGTGTGACACGCGCGTCTTAATCACTGCCAAGTAATGTTGTGTGGTTAACCACTGTTAAATTCAACGACGTGGGTTTCTGAACACTCTAATTGGCTCGCTTGGAAACCTATCCTGCGCATTTCAGGAAGGACGAGTTTGTCACAGTGTATCCAGCCGACGTCGTTCTCTTTGAGGGCATCCTGATGTTCTACTCGCAGGAGATCCGTGACCTATTCCAGATGAAGCTGTTTGTCGACACTGACCCAGACACGCGACTCTCTCGTAGAGGTGTGTGGAACAGAATGGCGCTCACTTTAGAAAGACGCATACCAACCTAGTATTAATGTGACGCCATGACAAGACAAGACATTGATGCAACTTCTTCCAGTCTTTTGGCACTTTTCTATTTCATTTTCAGCCATGCCTCAGCTCAGGATTCACTTTCAATTCTTAATGTGTTCAGGATATGAATAATTTTGGGCGTGACAGTGTGGGTGTCGACACTTTCATTTTCCCCCCCCCCCCTTGCTGCCATTTCTGTTCCAGTTTTGCGAGACATCGGTGAGCGTGGGCGGGAGCTGGAGCAAGTGCTGTCACAGTACATAACTTTTGTGAAACCGGCCTTCGAAGAGTTCTGCTTACCAGTATGTGATGTGGCCAAATCGACGTGGCCGTTGCACCATTTCAGTTTTTGACCCTTCATGTTTTCTTGACGTGAACTAGACCAAGAAGTATGCTGATGTGATTATACCCCGCGGAGCGGATAACCTTGGTAAAGCTACGATCAATAGTTATACTCTATTTTGAATTGTTGACGTTCCTAGTGAGGGTTTAACACTGTTCATCTTTTACTTTCTGTCCACAGTGGCCATCAACTTGATAGTACAGCACATCCAAGACATTCTCAACGGCGGCCCAAGCAAGCGTCACAACAGCTGCACCAATGGCCACAGCACCCCGCGGCAACGACGGACGTCCGAGTCCAGCAGTCGGCCGCATTGACCTTGCCGCACCTCTCTTCCCAGGCCGAAGAGGGGTGATGGGCCAGCGCTGTAAATAACGCCTGTTGGCATCACTGTATTTAAGATGAGTGAAAGGAAAATGCATTTGCATCACAAATCAAAATGCCTTTTTATTACGGTGACTACTCCTTGCCATTAGTTGGATTCATTGTAATTGCTGAATTTTGGGATTCACGGTGATGCCAGAAGAGTGAAAAAGCATCTCTTAGTCTCATGGTGACCTTGGGTTTATGTGGACCCACATGTTTATCTTTTCGGTTTAACTTTGGCTTCAATGTATCCCCTGTGGCTTTATGGAAGTTCATGCTGATGATGAATAAAAGGGGGGGAAAATATTTTTTTTTGGGGGGGGGGGTCCTCTGATGAAACTTGAATCTCCAATAGTCTGGGAGTCGAATAAATGTTTGTTTGGATGTGATCCAGATGAGGATGTGGTCTCCAAGACAAGGTTGAAAAAAGAAAAAAACTCAAATTGCACTTTGTATTTGTATGACAATCTTGGTATTGTTTCCTGCTATTTTCAGTGTTTTCCCCTGTCTTGTGAAGTTTTCAGTGTCAATCGAAAGCATGTTTACCCTGCCGTGTAACATTTGTTTGCTGCGGCAAAAACGCAAAATTAGGAAATGCCAGGCTTATACCTCACCAATGATGCCAATAACCGGTGAGAGATGGCTTGCTCTGGCATGACTGTTACATAATTTCACATCTCTAATTGGGGACAATATGTCGGAAGATCATGCTTGGTTGTAAGTCTAATTTTTTTTTGAAAGTAATATTTAAGTTTGCATAAACAATATACTCAGGTTACCAAAAGGGTAATTGATGCAGCAGCAATATCAGTGTGGCCATAAACCACCAAAAACCACCACAATGCCTCCATGAAGTTCCCTCAGGTTAACACGCACAGCAAGTCTCCACACTTAGTTACCAGTTGTACTTCAGATTACAATAAAACAGCTTTGAGTCCTTTTTTTCTATTCCCTTTAATGTATTTTTTAGGATTCGATTTACTGAACGATGCCATGCTGTATGGCTGCTGGGTAATACTTGAAAGACTTGTATCTCGTTATCAAGCGTCATTGCTTACGGTAAATAAAATGTCTGTCAATACGTTCATACGTTGTCTCATTTTTTTTTTGTACGCACCACTCGACAAATCTAATGCCATACAAAACCTACGAGCTATGAGTATCGACTTTGAGCATATATATATATATATATATATATATATATTACAAAGCGGATGGATTAGCCTAGACTCAGTTTGTGATCGTGTTATATATTTTTTTGTAATTTGAAAAATCTGTATATTTTTTTGCATGATAAAAACCTGCAGAGGACCAAACGTCGTCTGAAAAAAGTGTTGTATAATTAACGACGCTTAAGTTGGTTGGCTGTGTTTTCCAAATTAAAATGCCGCAAGTGCGCTTTCTGGCCTGTAGATGGCAATGTTTTCCACAGTTATGCATGAGGAAAAGACGCTGTTTTTTCATCGTCTACACTACAGTTTAAACACACTGGTTTTTACTTGCTCCCATATCAATAAAATTGAAATGATGTGGTTTGTCACCTCTTTCACTCTCTGCATTACCCCGTCTTTCGAATGAAACCTGTTGTGAAAAATACGATTGGCAAAAAAAAAAGTAATCGTTTTGGATTAAACACTGTCGTTTTTATTACGATGATTCCATTCACGTGGGGCGAAATGAGTGATTTTGTTGGGGTCTTATTGCTCGAAAATATAGCTTTGGGTTTCTCTTCTATGTCAACCTCATCTTTCAAATGAGAGGTTTATTGAAAAAAATCGATTGGCCATTATCCACCCCAGCCTTTTTTTCTGAGGTCGGGGGGTCCAAATGGTGATCGACCGGCGCAAACACGCTGGCAAAACGCTGCCAAAACAGGAATGATGCAAACAAAAAGCATAAACACATTAGTGCTCCCCCCCCCAAAAAGTAATGCTGCAATCACAGCAAAAAATTGAAGAAAACGTGCTGTGATTGCAACACTTCTTTCTTGTGTTTTTTCCTGCATTTTATGTGTTTATTTGTTTTTTTGAATTATTCGTGTATTTGCAGCGTTTGGCCGTTTGCAGCATTTTCTAATTTGCAGTGTTTTTCTTTCGCTGTTGTTTTGTGTGTGTAGTTTTTATGTGACGTGTGTTTTCTCTTTTTTGGTTTTGTTTTTTGTTTACATCTTTTTGCGCATGTGTGCAACATTCCTGTATTTGCAGCGTTTGATCGTTTGCGTTTTGTCCTTGTCGGCCACCATAAAAAATGCACTTCAATGTAAAAATGAAAACGAAGACAGCTAAAAAACCCTGACATTGATAATCAAACCTTTAATTTCAGCCATTAAAGTCAGACAATAAACTGCCTTTTTGTTTTTTTAGATTTTACCGTTTCAATTTACTGAGTCTTCCTGAACGTAGCAGGGCAACCCAAGATGGTGGTACGTTGAGCTTTCGCACGTCTCTTCATAAACATCGAAAGCATTGTGCACACGGAAATCTTTTCTTGTTCTCCTGACAGAAATTCGGGCTGCAGTTCAAAGCCACACTTGAGAATGTCACGAACGTGAGACCAGTGGGCGACGACTTTCGCTGGTTTCTGAAGGTAGGTTGTCTGTCAAGCTAATTCTGCTGGCGTGCCAATTCTGGCTAAACAAGTAACACATCCTGCATTTTGCCTTCAAACTTGATCATCCGAGGTGTCCTGACCTACAAATGTTGCAAAACTACTCGTACTCTAACTTAGAAGTACAAGTTCGTGGTTTAAAAAGACGCCTTAGGTAGAAGAAGTACCGATTCAACATCTAAACTGATGTAAAAGTAACGAAGTACGGACTCTGAAGTGCATTTTAGGACAAATACATAAACTAATTGTTTTTTTTAACTGCCTTTTGGAGGTGCCAAAACGATTCGATCAATCGACAATTAATCAATTATTGAAATTATCGACAATAATTTTGATAATTAAGTAATTGTTGAGAGCTATTGTTTAACCTAGATTTGTCCAATTCCTCTGATTCAACCTTATCAACAGTAATTATTCTCTGATTTCTGTATTCCTTCATGAAAGCAGACTGAACATCTTTTGTTTAATCAGAATAAGACATTCGCAAACATTCGCTTTTACTTTGGAAAACAATGGCTGATCCACAAACAGAATCAATATCAAAAAGGTTGGTGAGTACATAAGATAAGATAAGATAAGAAAACCTTCATTCGTCTCGCAATGGAGAAATTCCCAATTCACAGCAGCAAAGTTATGAAAGGAAGAAGTAGAACAACAAAATATAGGAGCTGCTGGAAAGGCAGCCATCAATCCCCTTTTGTAATCTTGCTTAATTGTTGTGTAGTTGTTGTTTTTTTTCATCATTAAACAAGACCAAATAAACATCAATTGATTACTAAACAGTAATTGGTAAAAAAAAATGCAAAATACAATTGTATCCAATTAATTGATCAATAAATGGAATATTCTATAGAATAATCATTGTAAAAACAGTCAACAGTAACAGCCCTGTCAATTATGAAAAATACTGATTCTCATTTTGACAACTTTGCACAATAAACGGCTCACCTCTTTTTTGAGTTTGGTCATGTTGTGTATGCAAGCTTGAGCCCTTAGGCACTGTGATGATATTTTCAGTCGGCAGCAAGTGGCAGTAAAGGCAAAATGGCCGCCCCTGGAGATTTTTCCACTCAATTCATATTCCACATATGAGATATTCATCAGAATGCTGTGCTAAGATGAGTTGGGGGCGCAAATATTGAAAAAAAAGTTTTCGACTCCCCCTTTAAAAACAGCTGGCAAAATAGTGAATGAGTTAATATGTATTGCATATTTTATTGCATCATGTTGGTCATTTATGCCATATTTGACACCTTTTGGATAACATTGTAACGTGCTTTTCTCTATATTTTAGCTCAAGTGTGGGAACTGTGGAGAGATTCCCGATAAATGGCAGTACATAAACCTGGCAGTAAGAATGATTGCTCGACATTGTATATGTTTGATATTTCTGTTGTTCATTTAATCTGTATTTACTCACTTTTTGTTCACTGTGTGCTCAGGAGAGCACACCATTAAAAGGAGGAAGAGGAAGCGCCAGCATGGTGCAGAAGTGTAAACTGTGTTCCAGGGAAAATTCAATCGGTAAGACCCCGCATGTCCATGTCCATGTCCATGTCTTTGAACTTGACAATCCCATCCGCGTAGACTCCTAAAAGACACTTTCATGCAGATATCCTCGGAGACACCATTGCGCCATATAACGTAAGCATACAACCTCAACGCTACCTTTTGATAAAGCCAATTTTCAACTCTGTCATTTGAAACCATTTTGTGTCACTTACCCTGTCTGATGTCTGCTTCATCGAAGGCTGAGGACAGTGAAAAGTTCAAAACGATGGTGCAGTTTGAATGTCGAGGCCTGGAGCCCGTTGACTTCCAACCGCAAGTATGTAACTTCGATTTATAACGGACGAATGGAGGCGAGGGGCCATCCATGAAAGAGGATTGTTCGTTCAATTGAAATTGACTTTTTTCCCATCGCCTAAAAACACCCAGTACAACACAAAGTTATTGGGAATAATAAACACCCCAAAAATGCTTGAAACTGTTTGTTGTAAGTTTATCCCAAACTATCTCAACATCTCTGGTTCCTACCGAATAAAATTATTTTTCCCTTTCAATCCCCCCTCAGGCTGGCTTTGCTGCACAGGGGGCAGAGTCTGGAACGTCATTTCCTGAAGTAAACCTACTTGAGAAAGTAAGACTTGTTTTGCTGATTGGGCTCGACTGAAGTATTGCAATTTTTCTGGGAAAATATGACTGATGACATAATTTTTTTTCCGCAATTAAAAAAATGATCGTACTCTTCTGAAATGCCGAGTTTAATTCGAATGCCATTAAACACTAATCTTTTGTTTGATCACTTGTTTTCTATGAAACATCTTTCAAAGGTTATGTCAAGTTTAATTTGAGGGGCATATCCCATTTCTTGCTTCAATAATTTCAGTGAGCATATTCCACGTGTTCATACTCACAAATTTTGTTGTCCACAGGATTGGACAGACTACGATGAGAAAGTCAAGGAATCAGTGGGAATATATGAGGTCACGCACAAGTTCATCAAGTGCTAATGATGTCATGTGACATGTACAAATGGACACTATTGGCAGACATTGTCCAGTTTCTAGATGGATTCCGAAGATGTTAGAGGGGTCACAGTGTGGCTTATTCAATAGGTGCGGCACACATCAACTGATATGAACATATTAATGGACACACTGCTCGATTCTGATTTCTTCAATGCCCTCAATAAAATTAAGGCGCAGATCTTTGGTTGAGAATGTTTCTTCCTCGCATTTGTGCTGGGGCTCAACATGTGTAACTGGCTGCTGGACTTTTTGACGGGGAGGCCACAGGCAGTTCGGGTAGGCAGAAATACCACCAGCACCATCATGATGAACACAGGGGCCCCCCAAGGATGTGTGCTGAGCCCCCTCCTCTTCACTCTGCTGACCCACGACTGCACTCCCTCATCCTGCTCCAACCTCTTCATTAAGTTTGCAGACGACACGACTGTGGTGGGTCTCATCAACAACAATGATGAGACGAACTACAGGAGTGAGGTGAGCAGGCTTGCCATGTGGTGCAAAGACAACAATCTCCACCTGAATGTGGAAAAAACAAAGGAGATTGTTGTGGACTTCAGAAGAACGCACACCCAGCATGCGCCACTGACCATCGACGGTGCAGCAGTAGAGAGGGTGAGTAGCACCAAGTTCCTTGGTGTGCACATCTCTGAAGACCTGACCTGGAACCTAATTACCACCTCACTGGCCAAAAAAGCCCACCAGCGCCTGTACCCGTAAACTGAGGAGAGCAAGAGCCCCGCCCCCCATGATGCAGACTTTCTATAGAGGCACCATTGAGAGCATCTTGACCAGCTGCATCACCGTGTGGTACGCTGCTTGCACCGTGTCCTGCAGAAAGCGTCTGCAGTGCATTGTGAGAGCGGCTGAGAAGATCATTGGTGTCTCTCTTTCTCCACTCGCGGATATTTACAACTCTCGTCTGACCCGCCAAGCCACCCAGATTGC